TAATAAAGCATGGGTTATGATTGATTAGGTGAATTAGAGCTTTTAATAATTTATTAAATTAGACTAATGAGATATCATAATCATCAAATGAAAAAAAATAAGAAACTTCAGAAAGTCTAATGACATTAAGTAGATTAACAAAAGAATTAGGATGCGGGGGGGTCCGCTTATGGAGGCAACTAACCTTTAAAGTTGTAGAATAAATTTTCCTGTTTAGTCTTGAACTTCAATAAGGAAACGCATGCAAACCAAAAGCATTTAGCAAATTAACAAGGAGAGGAAAAGTTTTTTTTTTTTCCTTTGGTTTGTTTTTTCCGTCGATCTTGTTTTCCGTGCTGAGCACCAATGCTACCGACGTGCCAGGAAGGCAGCTCCCACACCTGGACCCTACCTATCGACCCATCAACTCATGAACCGGGGACCAACGGCTTTACTTCCCATCCGAAGGAAGCCGTGATCAGAGATGTTATGCCTCAGAACATCCCGGTGGCGCCGACTGGGATTGAACCCAGGCCTGCTGGGGTGAGAGGTAATCACGCTTACCACTACACCACCGGTGCCGTTTAGGGAAAGTTTAGGAAATAAGTAAAAGTAAAGGTATGTGACAATTGATAACTTTTAATCTTTTGTAGGTATTGTATTCCCCTGAGTTTATTGTACTCGATTACTATATTATTCTCTCAATACGCAAAATCTCTTATATATGCGGTAAAAGCATTTGAGTTAACTTATTTCTTAGTGTTCAAGTACTTAAATTTGTAAACAGCAGTCAATGTTAGTCTATGAACTAAACCCTACGTAAAATCGATCTTTCCTTATGTGATATTGATGCATGTTTAACTTTTCGCGGCTGTCGGAATCAACGCGCCTACGTCTACGGAGCTTACGCAGAAGTGATTCGCAATTCGATAGAGCTTGTCAAACGCTTTTGAGCTTATGTCGTATAGAATATGTTCGGTGTGGTCGCGAAATCTTGAAATAATTGATACGTTCTTTTAATTAACTAATTTGATACAAAGCTCAGTAGTAAATAAGTATAATATCTAGAGAGGAAACCAAAATTAATTAACTTGCCTTCTCGCTTCGGTTGTCTTGCACGGCTTTCGGAATTCGCGTGGTTTTCGTAACTTACATAGGGGAAATGCAGGTAATGTCGGCCTAAGTGTCCCTAATTTGGGCTCATATATAAATTCAGCAATCGACTAAATTTTCAATAGCAACCAAAAATATCCATTAGTAACATCCCAATTTCCCGTTCATCTAGATAAAATTGATAAATAGCAGATTTTTAGCGATGGGCCCAATATTAGATCCATAGGCCAACATTAGAAACATTTCTCCTAATTTAGATATTTCGTTCGAAACGGATGTATCTACGCGAACATGTCACAGCATCATGAAATGTTTTGCAAGTATAATACTAATTTAATGCATCAAAGTAGAAAAATCTAGGTTATTTGGACATGGGACATTTTATTTACAAGGATAATATTCAATAGATCCACAATGATTGTATGCATTGAAAATCTTGCAAGGATAAAATAATTTAATGTCTTGGCGTGTTGTTGTTTGGTATCTAAATTATTCGCTGTGGAGGATTGTAAATTCTGATGACTGATGTATATAGGGGAAATGGATGTAATGTCGGTCTAAATGCCCCTAATTTGGGCCCATACATAAATTCATCTTGTTGTAGTCTGGTTTAGATTTTTCATGGATGCATTATTCTCATGAAGTTCAACATTGGTTGGTCCATCAGGTAGTATGCTGTTGAAGTGAACAATGAAATGGTATAACATGTACTAAATTATAAAATAATCATTTAAAATATAGAACAATTCAATGATAAAATTCAATATGTGCCTTCCTTAGAACAGTCGGTAAAGGCACAGCTATCAAGCAACAGCCAGTTAAATCAACTCCTAGCGCGTTCCAGAAACTTCTCAGGTTGTAATACAATATAATGAAGTATGTAGTAAGAGTCAGGATCCACATTTAGGGCAAGTCATGGATCTGAAACCTGCAATTTGATAATCCAACCGCAGAATCAACGGGATGGGATACGACATAGTAATATTTCAAATGGTATAATATTATATAGGGGGCAACCCCGGCGTAGTGGTTAACATCCTTACCTCTCACGCCAAAGTCACGAGTTCAAATCTCACCCCCAGACAAGTCACTAATGACCCAAGTGACTATAATAAAAAAAATATATATTATATAGTAGCATTTAAAAATATGGCTTTGAAAGAAAAATATTAAATAGCGCTAGAGGTTTAAGTTACTTAGTTATACGGAGATGAACTAGCCTACGGCTAAAAATCTCCTAAATAAAGAGGAAAAAAAAACATAGTTATAAAAATACATTGGATACGTGTTTCCAAAATCTGATCCACACTGCTGAAGCCTGAATTAAGTTAGTTAGTGAGATAATACGATTAAGCGAAATACTTGGCACCATCTAGCATAATAAGAGTACATGAAAAAATAACTGCTGTTGATAGCTCGTTCTGTTAGCTATTATTTTCAATTTTCTGCAAAACATAAAACTAAAAACAAAGCGACCATCTCAACCACCATGATTGAAAAATAATATTTAATTAATTTATGATAAATATGAAAAACAGTTTAACAAATTTAATAACGATTCTGTAACTACACATTTCAGCTGATCTGGCAACATCTGGAATCGTAATTTTATGTTTATTCCACATTTTTTTTTTCCTTTGGTTTGTTTTTTCCGTCGATCTTGTTTTCCGTGCTGAGCACCAATGCTACCGACGTGCCAGGAAGGCAGCTCCCACACCTGGACCCTACCTATCGACCCATCAACTCATGAACCGGGGACCAACGGCTTTACTTCCCATCCGAAGGAAGGCGTGATCAGAGATGTTATGGCTCAGAACATCCCGGCGGCGCCGACTGGGATTGAACCCAGGCCTGCTGGGGTGAGAGGTAATCACGCTTACCACTACACCACCGGCGCCGTTATGTTTATTCCACATGAAGCGTTAGTTTACGCTTTTCTGTCACTGGCACACATTCGTACATGCAACTAGCCGAGCTATATTTTAACCATTTTCTTTATAATCAACGGAACAATCACGTATATTCGTTGCCAGAAACAAGTTGTAATCACTTGTATCTCTAATGACATATCCTTACCAATGTTGTAAGTAGTTGTGAGAATTTAATTGAATGCTTACGGTAATCCAATGAATGCTTTGTACTTCCTCTGATAGAATTCACAAGCAGAGAGCTTCCAAATATGTTATATAGGGGAAATGACGGCTTCGGCATGACAGACTATTTTCGGCAACACAAATTGAAACACTATTTTCACTGGATTTTCTTACGAAAACACTTCGCTGAATGCATGCAAACGATTCTTTATGCTTTCAGCTTCAATTTGACTATATTTTTACCACTGAGAAAAAGCAATCTAGCAAGGTTTTCTTGAAATGCAACACACGCACTACAAATTGTAGCTGATTTCAAGTTGCCGATAATAGAACAGCAGATTTACATGCAGTTCAAATGGAACGGTTGCCGAAGAAAAACTGGTTGCCGACAATACTCGCTCTCACTAGAGAAGATTGGAGCTTTGTAAAAGCGTTTCAAAACAGTTTTTGACAATTCTTTCGACTGAAATTGTTAGAGCAGCTGGCAGCAAAAGATCGTAAACAAACCAATACTGCATATGTGTGCGTTCCTTAGAGAAAAAGGCTATAGAAAGAAGGTCGCTGCTTAGGTTGCCGAGAATACGTAAATTCCCCTATCATTAATTTTTACATCCAAATATTTGAAAAGAGATTGCTTCATTTTCGAACATTTCCATACTGCAAAACGGGTTTAGCACCACTAGCGATGGGACATCTATCGGATCCGATGGTGAAAAGAAGTATTCAATTAAAGAACATGATCATTGGTGGCCACATTGAGCGCCCAAAGTCACATCTGACCTCTCACATACACATGGCCCTGGGATGAACCCAAATTCGACAAAAAATAAAATGCGAATACAAAAAGCAAAAGGCCAATCAATGGCTGCTATATTAATATGCCCTCGGGGAAGCGAACAAAATACATCATATGACATCCATATTGTTCTACTAACAGATCAACAAATCATTCTGAATTTATCTAACTTCTCTTCCCTGAAAGCGAACTTGTTATTTTTGTCGGAATTTAAATTGGTAAGGTCATCTCCAACAAATGGTAGGTATATTCAGGTTTTTAACGATAAATATTTATTTGACACTTAGCATCTTCAACTAGATAAATATGCCAATTTACGCATTTAGTTGGATTTATGAGGATTCACCTAAACATAATTCTAATTAGTTTGATAAAATAATGTAATGTCAGCCATTTTGAATTCATCAAAATTACCAATTTGTTTCTCGAAAGCATTGTCTGGTCGTCCCATTCACATTTCAATTAAATGAAGCGTCCAGTTGAATCATCTAATCCAGGCTTACAAACATCCCATATAAACGACAACAAAGCTGATCTTGACCTTTGGCTAACATCAAGAGTGCACGCTTTGCAGCGAACGCAATGCGTTAATGTAACCCTATCCAACTTGTATCGATAGTCATCGCACGTAGGTAGATAAAAATGCTTCAATCCATATTCCGATCATGATCTGCCGTAATGTGCGCGCGGCGTTCAAGTGAGAGTTGTAATATAAAACCATTTATGGACAGCTGAGCGGGATCTATTAACATCTGGACCGGCGGGCAAGTGACACTTTGCTTGCTACTGTCTCTCCATCCGTTGGAAACACAAAGGGAATACGAGACGCAAGATAAACAATCCGTTTAGGAGTACTCACCTCACCATCACCGGGACAACTGGACACTTGTCTACCAACACAAGCGACAACAACGAGGTGCCCTCATGTCATGCAGTCATTAAGCCGTCGTCAATCCATCACCAACGATACCGACCTGTCTTGAGCGCACTAGTCGTCTTGGAGAAGTCGGAGAGGATATAACGTCGACGAGAAATATACTCTCTGTAGCCGGTGCGATTTTACTTGAAGACTATAAGACGTTTAAGCTTATAGCCACTCTGGTTAGTTGTTTTTTGCGCTCGGGCTCGTTGAGATTGGTACCTACGATCGCGTTACGTGTTACTCATCGATCCTCGGAAGGGATAGTCCGATATAGTGAACAGTAGTGTTCCGTTGCGTCTGATGACGCTGAATAATAACCACTTTTAGCAGCTATTGAACAAAGAAAACATCTCCCTTAGAAATATTTTAAAGTGTTTGTTGGCGAAAGCATTGTCATAATTTTAGTGAAAAGTGATCAAAATGGAGGCAAATAGCACGGTTGTGAGCCTATTAGGAATCGGCCGAGCCGATGAAGACCATGATCATGACCATGAGGAAGATGAAAATGATCAAATTATAGTCGCCAAGGCAACAGCTATGGTCGTATTGTTCTCGGTGAGCATGATTTGCGGAATGGTACCATTCAAACTGGCCAAATGGTTCAAATGGACTGACAGTGCATCGGACGCCAAAGGCAGTTTTTTGGTATCGATATTACTATCGTTCGGTGGGGGAGCACTGCTGTGCACAACTTTCCAACATCTGCTGCCGGAAATCAACGAAAACATTCACGAACTTACGCTTTTGGGACATTTGCCCGAACTTACGTTCAGTTTAGGAGAATTTTTAATGTGCGCTGGTTTCTTCATCATCTATCTGGTCGAAGAGTTGGTGCACGTTTATCTGCACAGACATGAGCGCAAAATAAATGACGCCAAAATAAACGAGCTGGAGGTTGCCAGTGGCGCTATTATGAGAGGTACACATGCGAGAGAAAGCATTATTATGCGGAAGAAAAACAGCGAAAATCGCAACGGAAGTATTTCTACCGCAGATCTAATCTCCAATGATATGGAGAACCAGAAACGGGGGATTTCTGTGGTTTCGAATGATATGCCTGCTGTCAACTCGCAGCATCCCCATGACCACCATGTTCATCACCATCTCCCGCCAACTAATATAGACGGTAAACTAGTGTCGTCCATTCGTGGCCTGCTGATTGTTTTGGCTCTCTCGGTACACGAGCTGTTCGAGGGCCTCGCAGTTGGCCTGGAAGGATCCACTGCAACAGTCTGGTACATGTTCGGTGCAGTAGCGGCACACAAATATGTCATAGCTTTCTGCGTGGGAGTAGAACTGATTGTTGCTCGTACCAAGTTTTGGCTGGCGGTAGCATACATCTTCACTTACTCAGTTGTCAGTCCACTTGGCATGGCAATTGGAATCCTCCTGAGCAATGGTGCCAACGCTGACAATATGGAAGTGATATCCGTTATTCTACAAGGGCTGGCCTCGGGAACGCTGCTGTATGTTATTTTCTTCGAAGTACTTTCCAAGGAGCGTTCGGGATTGTGGCAGTTTCTGGCTGTGTTTACTGGATTTTTCTTCATGTTTGGCATCAAGTTCCTAAGTGAGTAAAGAATACATGCAATTGTAGCACTTTAAGAGGCATACACGTAGCCGTTAGCGCTTCATGTGTTGCATAATTTATTAGCCTAGTCAGTATGTAGAGATAGTTTCAATAATGCAGTTAAACGATAAAAAAAAAATCAACGGTTTATTGACCTGAGCTTCACGATTTTAGATAGGTAACTGAAATAACGGACATAAGAATTAAACAACCAAAGATGCAATATACGATCTAGTCTTCGAAATAAACGATAAGAATTATTTAAATAAAACTAGGTTTGTTGTGATGTGGGTGATTTGCAACGGTACTGGGAATGAACAATAAAAATTATATTGAAGATTGTTGAGTTCTTTTGGAAGTGTTGTAGTTTCAGATAATTTTGTTGTGGTGTAATGCTTTGAAAATGAAAATGAAACGAGATTGGCAAAGTTTTCACGGAAGACGAAATCAGAGTTAAACCTCACACAAGATTTACAGCCCATTCTTTCATCAACTCCACATTCACTTAATCATAGGTACACTGTTCGCAGAAAGAACAGAAAAAACAGGTTTCTGACGAATAACGTAGTTCAAGCTCATTCTACCCTAGCATTTAAGTCACCGTCATCGTCGTTGTCTTCGTCCGTTGGCCGGTCGGTTGATTGGATCCGAAGATGTGAAATATCCCCAGCATAAAAGCAAAGCGGGCGCGGCACGGTGTTGTTTTTGTTCCGTTCCATTCACATCTAGCATGCTACAACACGCTAAACAACAATCGTGATTCGCACATGTTTGACTTGAGCGCGGGGTGGGAATGGAAATATTGGACGCTGAACCGTGAACACATACAGACTTAAAGTGTTGATCTTACTGGGCACTCACCGTTGAAGGCATTGAGTTGCCCGGTGTCGGCGACACGTGTATGTATGCCATTTCGAGCGGCTTCTGTGGGCTTGGCGTGGATCCAATAGTTTTTGCCTTGAACAGCCTTGGTCGGCGATTTATTTACGAAGAATGAAATAAAAACGCCGCTAACACATGTGAAATGTGGAGGAAACAGAAACGTCACTGAAGCTGAAGTTATGCTCGCTTGCACCTTGTCTGTTCCTTCAAATGCGATTTATGCGACACGAATGTGAGTGGGGCACAGCACGTGATTTCTTTCTTGGCCTTTTTTCAAGTTTATGATATTATGGCTGCCTAATTGTTGATGACTACAAGGCATGTTATGAGTTTTTGGAGCTTCAGATGTCTTTTGAAACTGTTATGGTGCAAGGGTTACATATTGCGCTTGGTGGAACTATTATAAGAAACTTACAATTATTTCAAGATACGCGAATAAAGTAGGGGAAAGTAGTCAACTGTGAAACAGTTTTTGTTCAACAATCTTTCATTTTTTTTTCGATGAAAGCAAGGAACAAGCCTTTGACCTTCATTCGAATGGTATAAGTTTCTAATTGACTTAATAAATCATTTCAGGTGGATTGGTTGTAATTTAATATAGTTACAACCAGAAATGTACATTTTTGTCTCGTTGTTTCCTGCCTAGTGAAACAGTGAGACGAAGAGTCTTAAACCAAGGTTGCAAATACTCATTTCAGCTAAAATAATGTTTTTCGGAATAATAAAACCAAAAGATGGTATGATGGCATGTTTAACTTGTAACTTACAAGAAGATGTTACAAAGTATGCGTTTGAAACATAAAACCTGTACATTTTGCTTTCTATGAGTCACAATCAGCGATTTGCTGATCGCTGAGTGAGTGAGTGTGTGAAAAATCGCTGATTGTGACTCTCATTAAGTGAAATAAACAGGTTTAATATGTCAAAAACATTCTTTGCAACCTCTTCTTGTATTCTATCAATTAAAAATATGATCATGGCATCTAATTATTTCATAATTAAAAAAGACATTGTTTTAGCTGAAATGAGTATTTGAAACCTTGTCTTAAACATAGACATACATGCTTTGATATGGTTTAAATCATAAAATTATTACATAGTTGGATGCCAAGTTTCAAATAATAGACTTAAAGTGGTCATTTTATACGATAGATGAGGTAAACATTGTATATAGAGAGTAGAAAGCGAGGAAGGACAACTTTGAGGAAGGTACGAATCGGGTTAATCATCTCTCTTTACCAAACTTCCCCGTTGGAGAGGGATAGTGAGGAGTAACATAAATATAGTTAAATAAAATTATTGTTTAAATGATATTTGAGAGGTCGTGGTGTTTGTCGAGTATGGAAATGATCATAAATTATGAGTATAAATAAAGTAATAAAAATTACATGCGACGTAATCTGTTTAAAGAATATAGCTTGTAATGAATTTGTATATGAAATTTTACAGTTTTGTTATGTAACTGCTTCAAACATGTAAATTTCCAAGCTTATCATGTAAGTTTACATGCAAGTCATGTAAACATACATGATGATCATGTACATAATGTAAACTTTCATAGTAAATAATGTTTTCTTGTTAATTTACATTAACAAACCCATGAAAAAGATTGAATTCCACAATACATTTTTTTGCTGTGCATACAAACATCATAACAAAGGGGGAAAAGGGGCATGAAAATGGGTCTTAAGCGTGACGTAATTAATTGACGATTCCTATATAAAGAATGCTTTTTACTCACTGTTGCCCACAGGTATGTTTTATGAAAAAATAGTAAAATAGTGGTATTAAACGAATAGTTTTATTGTCATCACATATGATGATGATGGTCCCACCTCTTACCTCTACAAAGGATTGAGCTGGACGATTTATCTTTAAGATAATTAAATATAAACATTTTCACCAGGTTAGCAAAAAAACGAACTGGTTACATTTACAGATATAAATTTCCTCTAGAGTTTACAGTTGCTTCAGTGAGTTGAGGAAGTGAATCTATTACATCGCAAAATCAAACGCATTATTTTATTCTGCAAGCGCTGTAATCTCGATCTTTGTGTTTCATTGGACAGAAATAAAATGGATGGGCAAAAGTCTAGATGAGGAGAAATGATTGATTTGTATAGCTGTGTTTTACTGGCAATAGTTAAATTGTTTTTCAGTCGACATAGAATTCCATACTTATTGGCAATTTTGTTGATGACATTGTCAATTTGAGAGTTGAACTCATCAATAATCAAGCCAAGATATTCAATCTCCCGAACGCGATCAATTTGTTGATTCCGCGAAATTACCATAAATTTAGTTTTACTTGTATTCAATTTTAACTGCTTACACTTCAACCATCTACTTAGGTACTGCAAATCTTCATTCAAGTGTGAGACGGCACCTTCTAAATACTTAGCTGCAATGAATAACACAGTATCATCTGCAAAAAAAAATTAATGTCGCGAAAAAAAAAAACAGGTCGCAAGTCATTAATATACATAATAAATAAAAGGGGCCCTAATACACTTCCCTGGGCACTCCAAGGTTATTCGAACGGGACTGGAAACAGAATCATTAAAAACAGTCCGTTGAGTTCTATCAGATAAATAGCTTTCAAACCATTTATATGCAGTACTCCTAATTCCAAAACGCTTGATTGTACTTAACAATAAGGGCCTAGAAATTGTTTGAAATACTGGCCTTTAACAACAAGTTCTAAGATTTTCTCTAATGTGTGCAACATGTTGATAGGATGAAACTCTTCGGCTTTAATCGTTCCAGCAACTTTTTGAATAGGAACCACCAAGGATTCCTTCCAAATTTGGTGCACATGTCCATTCTGCAATGATTTATTAATAAGGTCCAGAAAGATGTGGCCAATGACATGAAAGCAATCTTGAATAACTCTAGCATTAACATTATCTACTCCAGCTGATTTTCCTAATGAAATGCAAATAACTCTAAGTTCATCTAATGTAATTGAGTGAAATCCTGCAAATCTACAACTGCTATTAACTGGCTGTTTTATTTCGTCAGGTTCATCAACAAATTCAATGGATTGATTAATCAATGAAACACTTTCGAAAAAATAATCATTAAACTTAAATGCAATTACTTTTTCTGACTGTTCTAATGTGCCATTAAAAGTTATGGACCGCGGTTTGCAATTACTAGGTTTTAATAAAGATTTCAAAATTTTCCATAACTCTTTGCTGATATTTTGATGCTGATCAATCTTCCTTTGAACATATTCACAACGAGTTTTCTTTATCGATTGTGAATACTTATTACGCGCGATTGTGTACTTATTCCAATGGTTTTCATTATTTGATGTACAGAACTTTTTGTACCATTTGTCCTTTTTCCGTTTAAGACGCAAAAGAAGTTTTTCAAAGAAACATATCACAATAGATCAAAGTAATGGTCGCAGTGATGAATATACCCAACACGGAAAAAAAAACTAGTTGATTGGTGCACGTTATTAAGAACAGTTGTAGATTCATCTAAATTACCGGCCGCGAATGGAAAATCCACGCTCCTCTCAACAAGATTCGAAACAGTTTGCTTCGAATATTTCCTCCAGCACTTTAATTTTACAAAATTATCGTTATCATTAATATGGTCTAAGACATTAATCACTAGGGTCTCATGATCGGTTATTTTAAAATCAGTATCCGTAACTGAACAAATGGAATCAAAATTAGAATAAACGTGGTCAATTAAAGTTCTACATATGCTTATAAAATCTTATTGCTTTGCGATAGTAATAAGTAAATTTAATTGTTGTTGAAATTGATTGCAACAAAATTTTGTGAGACGCTACCCAATACAATTTTGGCTAAAATATACAATAATAGATTAATATATTTTTCCAAAACTACATCACGTGAGGCAGCTTGACAAGCTTCACTTTCTAGGAATATATTGAGAATTTTGAACACTTTTATGAATGAGATGAATGCTTTCCCCTAAATCACAAAGGAAATGTCTGATGCAACACAGTTCGAAAAGTAGTAAGTTTATATTCTATATTTTGCACATACACTTCCGGTCATAAGTAAGGAATCGCTTAAAAAAGTATTGCAATACTCATATTGAATATTGCATCACCTTGAAAAGTTTAGCATCACCCC